GTAAATCCCCAATGTAGTAACTTAATTTAAGTTCCTTAACAGCAACCCAGAGTATCGTGAGCATCTTCTTTACTGGCAGGGACAGTGAGTTTGCAGTATTTGAGACATGCGTAATGTCTGTATGAACCATTTCACCATAAGCTTTCGAATGGGCCAAAAACTGTGCAAAAATGCGGGATGCTGAAACTCCCAAATCAGAGTTGGAAGAGGCGAGCGGCAACCCTCTCAATGCTCTCTAGGGCTCCAAATTCGAACTTGAAACAAAAAATTAATACTGGCCGCCCCGCGTCTCCTGAACGCAAGTCCGAAAAGCGTTGCAAGCGTGGCATTTCGCCCATTTCGGAGGCAGCTCAATTTGCACCTGCGGAGGATCCTCCGGAGGTGTCGCTAAAAAGCGGCTCAAAGAAGAACCTGAAGCCTGAGACCCTAAATCCTGAATCTTAAGCCTTGCAGGATACAGGCTTGGCGCAACAATCACGGCCCTCCTTGCGCCAAGTCCGGATGTTAATTGAAGGTGCAAACTGAATGGCTGCGAAGTGGAGAAAACACCACGCCTGCCGTGCTTTCTCTGAATTGTCTTGAAGAGAAAGGGGTGCTTTCTTAGCAGTGTGCGAATGTAAAATACAACGTACGTAATTATCCTTCCTGCCCCCCCCTAACCCACCCAACGCGCTGCAAACGCCCTGGACGCGTCCTGGATTTCGGGTTTAGGGTTTAGGTGTTGAGGGTTTAGGGCTTAGGGTGCAAGTACATGGCCCCCACGATGTGAGGGCCTTGTTAGAGATTATTGGGGGCTATTACGGCTTCTAAAGGATTGGGGCTTATTAGGCCTTAGTCGCTGGCGGGGCGCATAATATCTGCCCGTTCCTGGAGCATGATCAAAAAGTCAAGATTCAACACATGAGCCATAGTCTAAACTCCTAGTATCCCCCTTAATAAGCCCTATAATACTCCCCTATATAATCCCCCATAAAAAAACCCATTTAAGGAGTTTAGACTATGGCTCACATGCGAAGCTCACGAAGCCAAAGTCGCTGAGTCTCTTCAGCTCATGCTAGCTCCCCAGATCAATGCAACCTCAGTACTGATTTACAAGTAGTTCAAAAAGCAACGTTCCAGAAGTGCGAATGCTATTGAAAGTATTCAACTACGAAATCATTTAAAAACGGTGGGGGGGGCCGTACACTAAAGTCCCACATTACAAGCATACTTAGGGGCAAGTAGCGCACTTATAATTGGGTACTGTCAGAACAGTCATACTTAGGTTGTAGGTAACAGGCCCAAGTAGCCAAAGCCTTTCCCAGCTTCTGCGGGCCTCTCCGCGCCCCAGGCGACTGACACGAACACTCCGCCCGGCTTCCTACAGTATGTAGTCTTGATCTTTTTTAGGGTTGAGGGCTCCAGCTTCGTTCACGAGGGACTTAGGCGTTAGGGTTTTGGGCTTAGGATTTAGGGTTCAGGGTTTAGGGTTTAAACGGTTTAGGATTCTTCTTAAGGCTTAGGGCTTAGCAGGCTCAAGGTTTCCGCTTCAATTAATGTTTAGGATTCAGGGCTTAGGGCTTAGGATTCAAGGGTTAGGACTTGGGGAGTAAGATTTAAGGAGGAGATGGGGGGTGGTTACAGGAACAATTATAGGCGTTCTCATGGAGATTAGGTAGGGGCTGCTACAGACTTCAATTCCCCATTCCCCAACTAAATGTGAGCAAGCAAGGTTAGAACCCTGCACTAGTGTGAAGAGTTTACGGTCTAGGGTCTGAGGGTGGGTGTGAATATTCCAGACTATGCTTGTTGTGGGCTTCTTGTCTAAGCTGGTTAAATGAAGTACAGGATTGGGTATTTAGTCTTATTCGTAATGTTGCCGTGCTTTGCGTCGTACACACTGCCTACCCGTAAGGAAGATGTTATGTTGCTCTATATTCTGAACGACAATATTCCCCATTAAACCATCTATCCATGCAAGGGTTTGTTGGGGGAAAGCTTTATTGCAAGCCTTGTTGGGCCACCTGGAAATCCTACAAGGACTCCCCTAGCCAGGACGAGGGGGAAGCAACGGGCCTGACATCCTTGGGTTGTCCGTATGCTACTATAGGGGCTGACAAACTACCAGTGTTCTTTGGAGGTCTCCGTGGGAGGTCCTATACCACACGTCTAAACGGATCCTAGGAATATTGGCAATATCCCCAGAAGCGCCTTCATAAAAACAAAGCTTTCATTTCATGGCCCATTTTCTTTTCCAGTTCGCTCTCCATTATTGGCACTCTAGACAACACCCTAAACCCCAAAGCCCATACCACACGTCTAAACAGATCCTAGGAATATTGGCAAATATCCCCAGAAGCGCCTTCATAAAAACAAAGCTTTCATTTCATGGACCATTTTCTTTTCCAGTTCGTTCTCCATTATTGGCACGCTAGACCCTACCCTAAACCCCAAAGCCCAAACCCTAATCCTTCAACCCCTATAAACAGGATGTCCCAGCTTCAAGACCCAACCCTTAACCCTAAACCCGAAATCCTAAACTTAGGCCAGGTGTCAGCACGCGATGCAGGGCCCGAAGTGCGGCCCCACCGCGAGGGTCCAGAGAGTCATCCTGGCTGGGGTTAAAGGGCTCAGGGTTTAGGATCTGGGGTTTAAGGTTTAGGATTAGGGTGTGGGGCACAGGGTTTACAGGGTTTAAGGTTTAGGGTTGAGGATTTATGGTTTAGGGTTTAGGGCCAAGTATGTAATGCGGTGACAAGATTTGTTAAAAGAGTGTCCTGCGGCAATCATACTGCAGGTCTATAAGGCTTATCTACCAGGGACAATCTTGGCAATCATTCAAGCTTTTATCCTAGTACCCTGAACGGAAACTTGGACTATACAGGGGTTTATAGGGATTATGGAGTGTACGGAAGCCCAAGTAAGTACGAATAACGTCACCTTGAGATCCATTTGAGGTACCCGTGCCAGAACTATACGAATTCAGGACTAAAAAATGCTGGGTTGCTGTTAAGGAACTTAAATTAATTTACCATAATGCCGAATGCGTATATATAGTAAATAATAGGGTTTCCCCAATATAGTAACTTAATTTAAGTTCCTTAACAACAACCCAGAAAATGTGTACTTTATCAGGCCTTTGAAGTGGTCTAGTGCCCGGTTTGGGTTTAGGGACTATGTAGAGCAGCTCTCTAAATTTGGGTCACGAAGGTGCAACCAGACCTAAGCCTCCGGAGGCAGACATGAAAGCTAATATCGTGCTTCTAAACTGGCCTCAGAACCCCACTAAAAACTATATTTCGGCTGTTATTGGGATTATGGTAACAAAAAATTTAAAACTATTTTGGAAGCCCCTATATGCTTTCCGTTGTTGTTTTAGGGCCTTTTTCGGGTGTAGGGTTTAGGGTGGAGGGTCCTTGGTTTAGGGTCATGTTAGCTTTGGGGAGGCTATTCTTACATGAGTCATGGACCCGGATGTTCAAAGACGCACATGAGGCACCAAAACCATCCAGAATCCGAAAACCCTTATCCGGTAGCGGCCTAAACCTTGAAACCAGAAGTGATACGGTTACTGGTTCAGGGTGGAAATACTTGGGTTCCTGAAAGTGATGGGCCAGGGACTGCTCTACTATGTTTGGCTTGCAGGTTCAAGGTGTGTTCGGGGCATTCCGTAAATTAGGGGTCGTTTTTGAGGGCTCTCTGAAAGAAGAATCATATTTCATGAGGATCTTTATTGAGGCCCCTGTTCTCGGAAACTCCCATTTTGTGGGGCAACCGGCGAAGCCTGTTCCTTGGATCCCATACATCCACGCAGGGCGGACAAGTTCGTGGCTGGAAACAAGAGCTCTTCCTCCCACGGTATCTCTCCCAAAGCACTAGGAACCCAGGCAAAACCCTAAACCAGAAACCGATATAGTCACCCTGACATTTCCTCAGACGCACCAAGAAGGATTCCGAGTTCTAAAGCACCCCGCTATGTGTCCTTGGACTGGCAGAGGATGGCATCCAGCCTACGCAAATGACGACACCAAGAAGAAGTGGCAGTGGCAGTGGCGGTGGTGGGGGCTCCGGGGGGGGGGCTTATCATAACTGTTACCGAGGAGTTTTTACTGTAAAGAATTGTACCGCTACAACTCTATCAGGAAACGAATCATGTTCTACAACGAATTCTGCATGTCTCATTGAATTTTTATGAGAAATCTAAACAACCCTCCAAAGGAGATGATAAGTCTGATCAACTTCCTTTTGCAATTCCTTTGTGCTGTGATCCCTATAAAAAAAACGCTCAGAAGCTTTAAGCGTCAAGGACACCAAGGAGATCCCTAATTCGAAGTAGGTTTTCCCTGAGACATCTTTGTATATGAGTGCCTTTATACACGCAACATGACATAACAAAACAAGTCCAGGAAAGCAAGGAGATCTGTCATTCCAGGAAGATTTCCAATAGGCTCCTCGACATGACTTGCTTTAGCAAGACCATATGAGCTATAGTCTAAACTCCTAGTATCCCCCTTAATAAGCCCTATAGTAGTCCCCAATAGAATCCCCTTTATATTCCCTTTTAAGGTGTTTGGACTATAGACCATATGCAAACAATGAAAACTTGGTAAATCAAGGAGATCCATTATATCTGTTGACTCCTTACTATAACCCCCTAAACCCTAAACCCCTAGTCACCTCAGGTTATCATAAGGGAGAAGGGGTTCCTAAATCTTAGACCCAACCCTGAGCGCGGGAAGAGGAACAAGAACAACAGTTAGGGCGCGACCAAGATGATGCTCTAACTTCCAGCTCGCAAGTTAAGGGTTTGGGGTTTAGGGTTTAGGCTTTATGGTTTGGGATGGTTTGGGGTTTTCGTTTGGGCTTTAGGGTTCATCGGTTTCAATGGCTTATGCACCTTTGTTTTAAACTGTAGGAGCTCATTTGCGCTAGGCAAATTTCATAAGGTTTGAAAGGATGAGCGTGATTGGCCAAGTGGGTCAGACACTGCATACCAACAATGCCAAGATGCGCCAAGGCACGTAAACTTTTCCAGTGCCATATCGAAGGAAGCAGGTGCTAGCCTCAGTTCTGAATATTATGATATTTGGCTTTTCTTAAATGATGTCTTGGGAGTTTGGAATGATCAGTGAACAGTGCAGCTCACTTATCCTGACATGTAGCTGGAAGGATGCAGCAATAGCATGCCCGCCTCTCTGCTCTCACTCTCACTCTCACCCTCACTCTCACTCCACACTCACTATCACACAAACACTCTCTCTCTCTCCCGCTCTCTCTGTCTGTGGCTTTCCTTCTGTAAGTGCCTATGATTGAACGTCATCTTCAGCCGGTCTCCGCAGGGATTGCTGTACAGCAGGTCATCTCAGTCACTTGCGCTTGGTTGGAGCAGAAAAATGCGACACAAGTTGTATGGCACAGTACTATGGAGGCCTGAAAAAACAGAAGAGGGTTTTGGGGTATACATTACCCGACGCGAAATAAAAGGAAGGAATAGTCTACACTTGCAGGCCTCCATTTAGCTAAACACAGGCTCTTCAGGGCAGCAGTTCTTGTCACTGTCAGGCCCTTACCATGGGCGCCTTAGATGCGCCCCTAGCTGTTACCCTTGTCCTAACTATGGTTTCTGAATTCGGTCTGCAGGGCTTTATAGGGTAAATAATGGGTATGTAAGGAAACCAGGATTAAGGGCCCACACTAGGGGCCTCCTCATCATTCAATAATGGACAATCAAACGCAGCTGGGTGTATATAGGGGCTTGTATCTAAGGTACGGCTCTCTAATATGGGCCCTTAGGCCATTTAGGGGGGATGTAGGGACGACTTATACGGTATATATACATATAATAGGTATGTAATGATCCCAGGGTTTAAGGCCGATACTAGGGGCCCATGGCTTCAATCTTAGATTAGAGGGTTGATTTGCAGCGGGCTAGATAAGTGGAATAGGCTTTTTTGCAGGGGAAGGGGGTATGCTGTAGCACTCTTCGGTCGTGATTCTGAGATAAGGCTGATAGTTCCCATCATATACGCATTCATACAAAAGGTATGTAACGATCCCACCGTTGAGGGACAAGGCTGATAGTTGCTTACATCGTTACACTATGTCACCTTCAAGTTCGGCTCTCGGCGCAGCGTAGGGGCAGCTTCCTATGCGCTACACTGTTGCTCAACCCCTAAACCCTAAACCCCTAAACCCTTAACCCTAAACCCTTAACCCTACACCCTAAACCCATGAAAATTGATCTGAGGTTCCTTGGGCAAATTATTGGGGACTCCTGAAGTTCTTTTAGGAAAATCAGGACACATGAGCCATAGTGAAAAGTCCTAGTATCCCCCTTAATAGCCCCTGTTATAGAGTTTAGAGTCTAGGGTAGGGTTTAGAAGTTAGGGTTTAGGGTCTAAACTCCTAGTATCCCCCTTAATTCATAACCGCCATAATGGTCCCCAATAATCCCCTATATATGCCCCTTTTAGGAGTGTAGACTATAGCTCACATGATTTTCTAGAATGGCCACGCCGGCAACACACAATTTTGATCAACTACCCTATGTGTGCCGCGTGCCTGCCACATATCTGGGCTTACCAAAAGACTTGGGAGTGTCCCGAAGTTAGGGTTTAGGGTTTAGGGTTTGGGGGTTTAGGGTTTAGGGGTTTAGGGTTTGGGGTCCCCAAGATGAGGATTATAGCATTTGGTGGTCTGGGTTGGAGTCCCCCGAATTTCGGAAACTACCACTTCTTAACTTCTTCATGAGGTTGTAGGTTCCTATAGATGTGAAAACATTAACGATTACCTGCTTACCGGCTACACGCTGAACCCCAAACCCCCTAACCCCAACACCCCACCAGCTACGAAGCTTCCAAGCTACGGTGACAACTCTGTGAGGTCCATCTGCTCCCACCGAACACCTGACGGGTAGTCAATGCATTGAGGGTCTATAGAATCAGTACCAAAACCCTTCTCGTACGCTTACTTGGCGCACTTCGGCCATACTGGAGGGTAGTTGGAAGGTCTAGGTAGGGTTTAGGTTTCGCAGGGTTTGCGGAATTTGGGTTCGTATGGTTCAGGGTTTGTGGGTAGAGCGTAGTGATTGCTCTAGATGCCAGTAGAATGGGCTGTCTCAAATTGGGAAATTGTACAAAGCAGTAGGAAGGCAGAACCCAATAGGAAGTGCTGGCTTTACAGCACGCCCAGGCTGTCACTTAAGAATGTCGCTAAACTTCCGTGGAATCGGATGCGAAACTGGCAAGCCTTTCGTAAATACCGCGCCTAAACCCTAAACCCAGAATCTCTCCCTAAACCCTAAACCCTGCTTCCCTTCCTCCAGCTCTTCCTCCACCCCTGCCCTAGGCTTTATCCTCTTGCTTCGTCTTGCTGTACTTGTAGGAGCCCAGAAGATTAAGATTTAGGGTTTATGGTTTAGGGTTTAGATTTAGGGTTTAGGGTTCAGGGGGTTTACGGTTTAGTGTTTAGGGCTACTAAAGGTACATAGGAACTGAAAGGGAGCAGTAGTGGTCCTTCTTCAGGGTCCTGCACTTGTTAATAACGTGTTGAGGTATATAGGGCTCATATAGAGATTACATGGAGCTCTATAGTAGAGGATAAGTAGTTAACATAGGGACTATGCAGTCCTGCAATAATCTCAGACTTGCCCGTTGCCTCGACCCAATGCGGGCGTTTCTTATAAAGGCCGCCATAAGCCCTAAAGTTCCTGGTGCTGAAAGGGAAAGGGGGGAGCCGATACCCATAAATAATCTCTAAAATTACCCTGTACTCATACCGACATTCCCCTCCGACCACCTCTAGCACCCAGAAGTAAAATGGCCGACCATAGTTCCTTACCTTTGCCGCGAGTTGGGTGCCTCAGCGCGCACCCCTTTTGTGGCAATCTCCATACATCAAGTAGCATCAGGGCTTTATAGCTCATTTTGAAGCTTGATTTAGGGTTTATGGCAGTTGTTGTGGGTAAGAATCGGATCCTAAAGCCCTATAAACCCCAACCCTAAACCCTTTCTTTGACTGAGCTTCAGGGTAAATGGAGCAAAGCGTTCCGATACAAAGCCGAAGAGGGACAGCGGGACCAATACTTGTAGTTGCCCACATGGGTTTAGGGTTTAGGTTTTAGGGTTATATGGGTTGTTCTCGAACTTCTGGACCCCTTTTGCATATGAATTATATTGCGGCATCTAATTTTTAGGGTACCGTAAAATGGGACCCTCATTTACGGAGCTGCCCATATAATATGAGGGTTTAGGGATTAAGGTTTTCAGCTTAATTAAGGTTCAGGATTCTATTTTCTTAGATAATTGTAGCATAGGGCACAAGTAGACCCCAAGATAATATGAGTAATGATTCAAGCTCGTGTGTTACCTTTGTCCCCTCTTGTTGATGCAGACGCTTGCTGCGCATAACTGGCTTTCTGCCCAGAACTGAAGGAATTCTGAGTGGCGCCGGTCCACGGTAAACTCCCAACCCTAAGCCTTTTAGGGCGTCGCGTTTAGGTTGCCTCTTGAGAAAGCCGTGTTGTGCACGTTATCCCACAACAGCTTAGGCCGTCCCAAAGAGCCCCATACGCCTTCGATGAGCGAATGTACCCTTGATTGACTTAGGGATCCCATAAGCGATATTGCGGTTTAGGGTTTTAGATTGGGTACTGCCCCCCCCCAGTAACAGTCTATTTTAAGGGTCCTAGTAAGGGCTATATAGAACCATATTATAGTTATTATCCAACTGTTACTGAGGGGGGGCAGTACCCAAGTCTTAGGGTTTAGGATTAGGATATTCCTTAGCTGGTTTAGGGTTTAGGGAAGGGTATCGGGCTGCCTGGGCTGTCAGCCTAAAGCCAAAACCCTTGATGGGAATGCTGCTAAGGGGCCTTAAAAGAAGTTAACATAATAATTGAATATCGCTTTATAGTAAATAATGGGTCTTCCTTATGATAGTCACGTAATTTAACCTCCTCACCAGCAATCCACCTAAACCCCAAACCCTAAGCCCTAGACCCTAAACCCTAAGCCCTAAACCCAGAACCCTAAGGCCTAAACTCTAAACCCAAAGGCCTGCTGACATTGCATCCTCCTCTTCGCTCAACGCAGCTCGCTCTGCCCAACGGTCGGCCATCAACTTCACCAAGACCTTTGGGGGGGTCAAAGTTCAGGGTTGAAGGCTTAGAGTGTAGGGTTTAGGATTAAGGGTTTAGGCTTAAAGGTTAAGGGTTTAGGGTTTGAGGTTCTAAAACTTTGCAGTGGCTTCGCAAGGACCTGTTAAGGCTTTAGGGCTTAGGGTTTGAGGTTTTAGAGTTTTAGGGTTGCAGTCACGGCTGAATCCAAGGTTGGAAAAGAAGCCCATAAGATTTATTCTCAGAACATCGGGTTCTCAGGATTAAGGGCCCGTACCAGGGGCAAGTGGATTTGATCATTGAAAATAACCCCTAAACCCGACGCCCCTAAACCCTAAACCCCAAAACCCCTAAAACCCTAAATCCTTAAACCCTTACTATAAGCCCCTAACCCTTAAACCCCTGAACTTCAAACCCCTAAACCTTAAACCATATTTACAGCTCAGGGGGCCAGGGCTGCAGAGCCCGAGGCCGCCCGTACCACTCTTTTGGGCCGAGGCGCGTCGCTGAAATCGATGTTGAGGATGCTTCCTCAAGGGTTTAGGGTTTAGGGTTTAGGTTTTGAGAATATGGGCCCTAAACCTAAATCCTAGACCGCGTATCTGAACGTTAAGGGTTGAAACCCAAACAGTCCAAGTGCCTGTTGGTATGTACAGTGGTTAAGGGCTGTGTTTTGGAAAAATGTGAGCCTACACACGCAGGCCCTGAAATCAAAATGCCTGAGGACTCAACCCTGCGCCCTAAACCCTGAACCCCTAAACCCTGAAAACTAAACCCTGAACCCTTAAACCCTAAACTCACCCCTAAACACTAAACCCTAAAACCTCAAGCACTAAACTCTAAACACTCCACCCTACGCCCTATCCTAGACCCTCCAATGCAGTACCTTTTTGGTGAAATGAATGAGAGTCCTAACCAAAAAAACATACCAAACCCAAAAATGAACTACATTGGAGGTTCCAGGTAAACCCTAAACCCTACATAGCCCATTATAGTAGTTTCCATTTTCTTTTCCATTAACCCCATATAACCCCGATATAACCCTAATATTACCGCAATGGAGGGTCTAGGTAATTCCTAACCCCTAAACACCCCAATATAACCCTAATATTACCCCAATGGAGGGTCTAGGTAATTCCTAACCCCTAAACACTCCAATATAACCCTAGTATTACCCCA